TGCATCTTAAAACAAGAGCTAGTTTTGGAAAACCCACTCGAGCTGCATCGGATCAGCCTCCATGTTCAAGATATTAATGATAACTCCCCGCAGTTCAACGAAAAGATGATCATTCTTGAAATTCACGAGTTAACAGACAGAGGAGCTCGCTTTATTATCGAGGAGGCGCGCGATGCGGATGTAGGACAAAATTCAGTTCAGCAGTACAGCCTCGAACAGAATGAAAATTTCATTTTAGCCGCAAAAGGAAACACTGTGGAGCTTGTTTTAGATAAAGAGCTTGATCGTGAAAAACAGAAGGAAATTAATTTGCTCCTCACAGCTTTAGATGGTGGATCTCCTCAGAGATCAGGTACAGTGGTCATACATGTAACTGTGCTGGATGCTAATGATAACGCCCCAGTGTTCAGTCAGGCCGTTTATAAAGCCAGTCTGCCTGAAAACTCTCCTTTAGATACTGTAGTGGTTACAGTGAGCGCAACTGATGCAGATGAGGGAGTGAATGGAGAAGTGACTTATGATTTTGGACATATTAATGAGGAAGGGAAGAAGAAGTTTGCAATTGATCATAAATTTGGAAAAATAAGTTTAATTGATGCTGTAGACTATGAGATCACAAAATCATATGAAATCCGCATTAAAGCAAAGGATGGTCTGGGACTGTCATCTTATGCCAAGGTTATTATTTCTATTACTGATGTGAATGACAACGCCCCTATAGTGAGTCTGAAATCACTGACCAATCCCATACCAGAAGACACCCCAGCTGGTACAGAGGTTGGCATCATTAATGTACAGGACAGAGACTCAGAGAATAATCGACAGGTCCGCTGCTCCGTCCAACAAAACATCCCTTTTAAATTAGTTCCTTCAATCAAAAACTATTATTCTCTGGTGACCACAGGAAACCTGGATCGTGAACTAGTGACTGATTACAATATTACAATTACTGCAACTGATGAGGGCTCTCCACCTCTGTCCTCCTCTAAAACTTTCCAGTTATCTGTAGCTGATATTAACGATAACCCACCTGTGTTTGAGGAACAGTCCTATAGTGCATATATTAATGAAAATAACAAACCTGGCTCCACTTTATGCTCTGTTTCTGCTCGAGACCCAGACTGGAGACAAAACGGTACAGTGATTTATTCTCTGTTACCTGCTGAGGTGAACGGTGCTTCTGTATCATCTTATCTATCTGTTAATGGAGACACAGGGGTGATCCATGCTGTGAGGTCATTTGATTATGAACAGTTCAGGAGTTTTCAAGTCTATGTGATGGCAAGAGACAATGGTTCTCCTCCTCTCAGCAGTAATGTGACCGTCAGTGTGTTCATATCAGATGTGAATGACAACTCTCCTCAGATTCTCTACCCCACCCTGGAGGGC